TGTGTGTGTGTGTGTGTGTGTGTGTGTGTGTGTGTCTAAAATGAGTCATCACTGAGCCATTTTGTTCTGGCTTTACTAATTGAACCAGCTGTTGTACATACAAGTAAACTTCAAATATTGCCATTTACCTTTACCGAGTTAGACTGTTTAGTTCGGAAAAAGGTTATAAATTATTAGGTTTTTAAAAAGTAAAAAAGCTATTCAATGAAAAAGTTTCAAAAAGTAACATAACATTTATTTTCAAAAGTTACTTCTAGAAAAAGACATGAAAAACACAAACCTTCCAGCTAGGAACTTTGGATGAAGGAAACATGCCAGGTCCAATGGTATAATAATGAGGATAAACTGGGAGATCAGCTGAACAAGGTCTGGAACAGGGTCGGGAAGAGGGCTGAAAATGTGGGAGAAAGTGTGCACCAACTGAGGCAAGATATGGTTCACTAGATGAACTGAAGTGATCAAACCCATTTGTCAACTGCAAATAAACAGAAAAGCAAAACAACAAAAAAAAAAGGACAAATGGAATATAAATGGTCATGAAGAATGCCACAACAACCAAAATACAAAGTCAATGGGAATAGCATCCATATACTGAGGAAAAGAAATTATTATAAATATCCAGCCTTAAATAGGGTCTTAAGAATTCTGTATATTTCAAGTAAAACACTCAAGTTAAAGGAAAGTAAACTTAATATTCAATCTTTAAAACTTCAAGACTTTCAAGTAACTATGAATCCTGAAAAGATATTTTAATAGCTTCCTATAATTTGGTATTATGATGCTCAGGTATTGCTTTACAGAAACGGATCCTCACAGACAGCTGTCCATTGCTAAGTTAAAGAAGCAAAGTTAATGAAGCAAACATAGCCCTTTATAGTTGAGATTTAAGACATTTTTAAATTTTGCAGCTGGTGCTTCTTTTTCTTTATCCAATCTTCCTCCCAATCTCTCTTAAACATACTGATTCACTGTTGGGGTACAGTCATTCAAAGATTGATGGTCCTCTAGTACCTCAACCAAACATTCATTCATGTGTGTGCTCAGACAACAGATGTAAATGATTTATTTAAATGAAGGCGAGATAAAAAATTATAAAAATGTTTGATCCAGTCATTTTCTAACAATAAGGGGAAGGTCTTTTACGGTAGAGCTGAGGAGGAATTTCTTCACTCAGAAATTAGTGAGCCTGTGGAATACTCTACCACAGGAAACTGTTGAGGCCAAAACACTTAAGATTTTCAAGAAAGATACAGGTATAGTTCTTAGGACTAAACGGATTTAAGGATATGGACAGAAAGCAGGAACAGGATAATGGATCGGATGATCATACTGAATAGTTGAGCAGGCTCAAAGGGCTTAATGGCCTACGCCTGCTCCTTTATTCTTTTTTCTATCCACAGACACATACACATCCATCCTATAACAATCACTACATAGAGGATAGAAAGTGAGGAGTGGAAACTTTACATGACATTTTCCCTTCCCTCGATTAATGGGATGAAGGTATTTAGCGGGTCTGTGTGATTCAATACCAAAGCAGTGGGTGTTTTATTCAACTGAACATTTAGCAGAGGGTGATTTTTGTTTTAGATTGACCATAGAATTTCAGAACACTCCAAGTTATGTACAATTAATTCAAGCATTAACAATCCATAAACCAATATCATACAGTTTATGTGGATCAATGCCAGATGAAAAAAAAAATGCCAGCACCTAGAATTTTGGTAATCTGAATATTTCCTCATTTTGTAGACTTACAGACTGGGAGGTGGGCAGAACAAGCAAGATTTATCACCTTTTCTGTTGATGCCCAGGCTCCCATGGTAGAACCTGAGCTTACGGAAGTGGGTGAACTGCACTCACTCACTGATTGGCACGTTTCAGATGCTTCAGAGGAGGCAGAGCTTGACGAATTCTGCAGAGCATCAATAGGGTGGATGAAGTAAAATGAAAGGGAAGAGATGAGGGAGGAAGAAATGGAAGAGGAAATGCAAAAAAAGCAGAGAGAAGAAAAGCATAGAATTAGAGCCAAAACCATTTTCAAAAGCAACCAACGCCGTCAAGTAATAGCAAGTTTACAAAGGCAGGAAAGTTCAACATACTAGCGCACAGAACACTTAAGACTGAAGGCAAGCAATAATCTTTGCCAGTAATCTGCTTTGTAACTAACAATATAATTAAATCAGCAAGCCTAATTAATGGGAAACAACTTATACTTAGTTAGCAATGAATGTAATTAATGTGATGATTATGCTTAGCATGGTTAATTCTCCTTCAACCAACAAACCAAGGACTGCACACCAAGAAAGAAACTAGTAATTTTATGTTGCAAAAGGATAAATAATATTTATCATGCAAAGACAAACTCCACTATAAATTTGTGATCATAAAGCAATTTTATTATCACAAAGGTACAGTATTTGCTCAGTTTGTAACACCCCAAGCTTCTGCTTGCCTGTCATTTTTATTCGCTACCCTTACTTTCATACTGACCTTTCTCTGTCCTCAATATTCTGTAATCTTTCAACAAAACGCAATATAGATATTTTTAATCAACCAGTTAAGTGAGGTTATTAAACCTTTCTGGAGGAGGTGGGACTTGAACCCAGACTTCCTGACTCAGAGGTAGGGACTATATTTCTGTGCTACAGAACCCAATTAATGGTCAATGTAAGCTAGAGGAGGAGCAGTTCATCTTTTGCTTAGGCACTTTACTGTCTTCTGGACTAATTGAACACTGAGTTCAATAATCTCAGATCTTAGCACATGCTTTGTTGTCTTTTTCTTTTATGGGTTTTGGATTTACTCTTGTCTGCCTTTATTTTTGCTTTCATTATTCTGCCATTCACACATCCTCTGGAAGCATCTGTAGTTCCTTTATTCATCCCACTGTCACTCTTTGGCCCCACACCACCAATTCATTTGTCATTTAATCTCTCCTACCTCCTATCCTTCAGTAGACCGTCCTTCTGTCCTTCTACCTACATTCACCCTATCACTTGCATAAAATCCATTTCAATTCTAAAAGATTCTGCCCAACTTGCTCAATATTACTAGCAATTCTTTTGTTTTTAATTCACTCTTACTGAGCTGAGTAAGCTCCAATACTAATATAAAGCTACCTAATTGAAGAAATTGCTAAAAGAAACAAAAAAAAAGTAAGAGGAAAACAAATAATTTCGCATACTGAGTAGCAATGCCTACTATACCAGAATTCTAGTGGCAATCATTTCACATGTTACCAATTGGCTGCTGTGAGCATGACAGTGAGCACTTCACCAGCTCCAAAATGCTGAGGTTCTGAAAGGAGCTATTTACACTATATGTATGTTTTGAGTATTGCAACAGAGAAGACCATATTGTAACAGGAGTTCATATCTTGAAAAAAATGTTTTAAAATGGGTAAACATTTGTTTTGGAGTTTATGTAAAAGCTAAACCCCTTGCTGCCACTGAACCTTTGAAGGCCAATTAGTTAAAATATATAACAACATGAAAGGCATTAAATAACCAAAAGATTATGTGGTGAAGTTCTTTTAAGTAGGTGAAATGGCTGAACATTACAACAGCTAAATTAATGAACTGGAAATGTATAGACATATGTTTGCACCGAATAATGTTTAAAACCAGAGGTCTTGACAATGGCTCAAGATCCTGAGCTTAACTACTGCCAAAATTGTAAAGGAACAAACATCAACATTCATACATTAAAACTTGTACTGAGTTCATATGACACAACACTTCTTTTTCTGACAGTTGAAAACATCTATCTTTAAAACACAGTAGCATAATACAGTCTTCAATTCTTTGAGTGCAAAGAAATTTGCAGATTTTAATCTACATACATTTTTTTCATTGGTTTTGCTGAAGTTCTTCAATTTTTCTATTGTTAATTTTAAAATTTAAAAAATTATAGATTTTTATGACCTAAAATCTTTATGCACGGTTATGTTTAACCCTAGTTGAAAAATGCAACAAAGCACTCAAAAGAGTCACTTGGTTTACAGCCTTGCATTAATATAAACTAGAAAGTTTAAGTTTTTAATAACCAAAATACGCACAGTTCAAGGAGTTGACATTCCATTCAATTTCACATACCTGGTTGGTTCCTTCCGGTGGCATTGGGGAAGGGGATTTAGACTGGAATGCATCCTGAGACATGAAGCCAGAATCATGGGATGACACACTGGAAAGCCTCATTGGAACCTGCTGGGGTTGGTTAGAGCTGCGGTAGCGATAGTGTGAAGTGGGTGAGTGAGAGTGGGATCCACTGGATCTGGAGTCACTACTGTTAACGCTGTTCAGACTGCTAAGAGAGACAAAAGAAAGGACAGGAAGGGGAAGACCATGTACAATTAAACACTCAGGCCCTACATGTTAGAAGCAACAGCTATTTAATGATAAGCCAAATCAATAAAACACATCAAATAGAAACTCTGCCATTGATATAGAAAAACAAACTGTTAAGAATTTGCTTCACCTGGCATGTCAGTTGATTTCTTCAGCCTCCAACAGTATTACAATGTTCATTCAAATTAGCAGTGTGTTCATCCAATAACTAAAGACAGCAATATATTTTGTAATTTTTGTTTTTATTTGGAGCAAAACTAAGGGTGAGCATTGGTGACATGAATGCAAATATGGCATGCCAATAGCTACTGTAGTCACGGAGAATGGGAGCTTTTTCCAACAATGAACAACAACCAGTCAGACACAGGACAGGAAGTTAGACTATCATATTAGGATACATTTATTCTTCTGCAAATATAAAATTCTTCAGTGTTTGGCCCTTTGCATAGAATAAAACATTTATTTAAGCAGAATTTTTGACTACTGTTTAATTTTACAATGCATGAACTTTATGACATTGTGCTTGAAAGCACAAAATATATATTAGACAATAAGATCCAGGAGCAGAATTAGGCCATTCGTCCCATCGAGTCTGCTCCACCATTCGATCACGGCTGACATGTTTCTCACCCCCATTCTCCTGCCTTCTCCCTGTAATCCTTGATCCCCTTACCAATCAAAAATCTATCTCTGTCTTATATACACTCAACGACTTGGCCTCCGCAGCTCTCTCTGTCAATGAGTTCCTGACTGAAGAAATTCCTCCTCATCTTAGTTCTAAAGGATCATCCCTTCACTCTGAGCCTGTGCCTTGGATCTTAGTCTCTCCTACATGCCGAAACATCTTCGCCACGTCCACTTTATCGAGGCCTCTCAGTATCCTGCAAGTTTCAATGAGCTCCTCCCTCATCCTACTAAACTCCATCGAGTACAGACCCAGGGTCCTCCACCTCTCCTCAACTGAACCTGTGTGTTAACATTAAGAGAATCCTGAACTAAGACTCCCAAGTCCCTTTGCGCTTCAGATTTCCAAAGCCTTTCTCCATTTAGAAGATAGTCCATGCCCCTATTCTTCCAACCAAAGTGCACAACCTCACTCTTTCCCAAATTGTGTTCCATCTGGCATTTCTTTGCCTACTCTCTAGTCTTTCCAAGTCCTTTTACAGCCTCCCCACATCCTCAACATTGCCTGTTCCTCCACTTACCTTTGTGTATTCTGCAAACTTAGCAACGATGCCCTCAGTCCCATTGTCTAGATTATTAATGCATAACATGAATAGTTGTGGCCCCAACACTGATCCCTAAAGAACCTCACTAGTCACTGGCTGCCATCCTGAGAAACACCTCTTCTTCACTATTCACTGCCTTTTGCCAGTCAGCCAATGCTCCATCCATGACAGTAGCTTGCCCATATTGAGATAGAAAACAGTAGAATTGAAAAGCTGCGACAGGACCTTTCAAAATTCAACAGCTCAAGTGAAAACCACCTGCAAAAATTCATTTGGGGAAGAAACAAAATGACGAAGCACCTTCTGTAAGATGCTTACACACATATTCAAACTCACTGAACACCACGTTGCTAGTTTCACTATAAATGTTCAATGAAATTAGCAATCCAAGAAAGTTATTGCCTTAATAACCTGAAATTATGTTTATAATGATATTCACTGGGCAAGGGGGTCAGGTTTTGGTGAGTTAATGTAATTAAGCAAGATAACAGAAATTCTGTGTGCTAAAATTTGGATTCATAGACATTGCAGAGAAATTAATTCCTCGGCTATTAGAAAGTTAAGTCTAATTTAAATCCATTCCAAAATAAACAAGCTGTAAAGAATTCTTAGTGGATCAGAATGGATCCCAAATGGACTGTTGGGCATCCAAAACTCATGAAGGGAACTTGATTACATTTTTTGCTAAATAGTTAATTTGAACGAATAATTAAGTGCTATTTTCCCAAGTGAAATTCATATCATGAGAAGACAGTAGACGAAATTTAAGTTAAGAAGTTCAAGATTACTAAAATGTTCAACAAGAAAAAAACGTGCAGAACGCTATGCCTGTAGTCATTTATCATGAAATCTCACAACAACGTGGTTCAATTGGCTGTTTACATAAATTAAAATGAATAATTGAAAGGGAATGGATAGAGAAATAGGACGAAGTGGACTGTTTTAAGAGAGCCAACACAGGCCTGATCAGCAAGTTTATCCTATATAGAAATAAATCTAATTAATGATGAACATTGTCTAATCAAATGCTAATCATCAACAGCAAATGTCTTTCTAAATATTTCAATACCTTTAAACATAAAATTGCTTCTGAAATGCTGCAGCTATTAAAAACACCAGTACACTATTTATATTTAAATAAAAGACATGCCTCTCTTTCATAAAGAAAACAAGTCAAATTAGACGGCAGGACATAGTTATAGACCTAACTGCAATATGGTTCAAGTCAGTCATCAAACTTAGAAAATGTTTACACAATCCCTTAACCGCTACTACATAATCACCGCACAGACACAACCAGTAATTCCCTGTACACTTACGTACCTGCAGACACTGGACTTCCTGGACATGGTGGTGCTTGGAGAAGAGGGAGGGGTTTGATATGTCCAGTTATAATCAGAGCCCTTCAGGTCAATAATTACCTGGAAAAATTATAAAATTGAGAATGTAAATAAAATGCATTTCAAAAATTACTTGTATGATAAATCATACATTTTACTATACTGGTAGAAAACGTGCTATTGTGATGATACTGTAGCTTTAAGAGGTATGTTTTGTCCTGGTTTTTTTTTTGAGAGATTGGGGGACAGGTTACGAGCAGTCAATGAGAAGATAAACAACTTATGAAGCATTGGGTTCTTTTTTAAAGTTGGAACAATAGAAGCAGCTTGAATGGATGTGGTCTAGCTCCTACCACAGAAGCAGATGATTAGTTTTTAAACAGTAACAGAAGCTGATGGGGTTGTGAAAAATTGCCATATCTCTGTTTGCTATAGCTGAAACTTAGCATTCTCTCTCTCTCTCAGAATAGTCCTTTGATGTTCTTTCCTCTTAGACTGTCTCACATGCAGTTCTCCAATCTGTTTTCTGAATTTGCCTTCTACCAAGGGTATTTTTATGGGATATTACTATATTGGAACAGTTAATTAATAATAGTTACTGTATCTATTATTCTGTTAAGTTTTCTATAGAGTTAATTTACTCCAATTCCTTCTTTCTTTTGTTGTATTTTAACTATAGTGGGTCAATAAAGTGTGTTTACTTTAAATCCTGTAGTCTGACCGATGGAATTGTAACAGCTAACATTCACCTTTAAAATAAGAAAAAGTTAGGGTCTAGACTATCTTCTGAATATTTTGAGGGGTTTGGTCTGGTCCATAACTCTATACATTTAGAGAAAAACCAGAGAGAAATACATTACAGCATTGTTACCAACACATGAAGTTTCTGAATGACACTAAATCACTCAAATCATAACTTCTCAAAATAAATTTTGTACAGCATAACTACGACAATGAACTTCACTTTAAGGAATTCGCTCTATAATTTCATGGGCCACTGAATCACTGACCTGCTCACTGGCTGTTGGTAATTTGTGAGGATCCATCGTCAGGTTAGTCAGGTCATCTGTAATAGTCTGCAAATGGGTTACTTCTCCCAGCATTGACATCTCTTCTTCCTAAGAGAGAAATAGCACTTACATTTAAAAAAAAAGTTATACTGGGGACTGTCCTAATGAATTTGATGCTATCTAGGTCTTTAAAATTTATCCAATTGCTGATCCTAGTCAGCAGTCATCCTTTTGCCCATCATAGTGGTGGTGAGGACTTTATGTGAATGGGGATGGCCATTGAAGGTTGGTGAAATGGTTGGGTCTTATTTTCATAACCTGATATTTGCATGCTCATGTTGAGCTGGCCAGCTCAAGTCCAGCATGTTATCAGTTCCTGCTATAGGCTAATAGTGGCTGTTTCATTATTGTGTCACAGGTAACCCCTTTTGCAGGATTCAGCCACATCCCACTTCATAATTGGATGATTCTCAACACTCAGTGGCTCTCATCTGTGGCACTGTGTAGCTGCTTGTGTAAAGCAGTGGCCATAACTTGGTAAATTCACAGCCCACTCCAGATGAAGACATTATTCCAGTTATGTCCACATGAGGGATAATGCCCATCTCCAACTGCCCAATGAAAAATGCTGCAGATGCAGTAGATAAAATGGTATTACCTCGCGGGTACTGAAAGCACTGCAAGACATCTGTGAGAACAGCTCTAAAGTTCAAACTTTGTGCCCCAAATTAAATTCTCTCTCTTGCATAGAGGTGGTACGTGGCCGACATTGGTGCTCCTGTTGCCATTTCAACCTCCCCCGACCCTCACCCCCCAGGTCTGGGAATATCAAGTTTAACCTGGTTCCTCTAGGAAAGTTAAGCCCCTTATAACCGAAAATGCTGCAGGTCCACAAGCAGTCGGAAGGATTACTCGTTGCTTTTCATGTACCCCAATATCATTCGCCCAGAAAAAATTATCGTATTCTTTCCACATACTGGGCCCAGTCTTCGATGGTAGGATCAAACAAGTGAAGCTTCTTAAATAAAGGCATAATGCTAGAAATGCTTATTCCTAGATGACTGTTGCAAGCAAATGTTCTTCAGGCACGTATTGTTTTGTCCTGTCGCCACCGAAATAACTGCACAGGGGCTGGTATCTCTTCACCAAGGACCTCTACTTATGAAATAATGACACTGATGTCAGTATCCCGTAATCAGGTCACCCTTTATTTACTTGTGCACAGTACACTAGTTGTGGCCAGCCAGCTCAGAGTCAGTTCCCGGAACTGAGGAGATTCTAAATCCTCCGTTTATATTGGTCAGCGAGGGGTTCCTTATAACCTGGTCCAATCAGGGAGCCTGGGCCAAACAACCCCAATCACGGATCTCATTGTCAAAAAGGTCCACCTGGTTTCAATCACTACAATTTAGCTTCTTCAGACAAAGGATCTGTCCTCGATAAAGACAACATTTTCCAACTGCAGGATGGCACTACTCTGCTGGGAAGGGAACTATTGTGATAACCCATATCTCATATTGATGCTGCTGCTTTCGGCACACTCAACTAGCTGAGGAGAGTCAGCTTACAGAGCTATCAGCAACCACACATTCTTTGCAAAATGTTTGAATACTCTCCCTGGAGGAAAGAAAATCGTCCACGACTCTACATCTATCTCACGTGAATAAGTATGTGACCATCATCGGTGCATATGCTCAATTATTAGTCCTGAGGATATCAAAGACAAATTCTACAAGGGCTTGGACAGAACTATTGAAAATTTAATGGGAAGACAATTTCACTATGATGGTGAACTTCAATGCCAAATATCAAAGTATAGGAGAATGCAAAATGGCATACTTCTCCTCAGTGCTTCCATCTGCTGGAATATGTCAATAATCAATTCCATCTTTAGACAGAAGGACGAGAACAAAGACACTGGGATTAGATGGACTTTATCATCGCTCGGGACAGCAACATAAAATATGTTATGATCACCACGGCTATCGGAACATAAGAACAGGAGTAGTCCATTAAGCCAGTGAGCCACAGTATTTATACTGCCAGTCTAGTTCAATTTTTGGTCAAGGCATTTGATAATAAGAGATTCAGCAACAGTAATGCCATTAAATGTCAAGGGGCATGGTTAGATTCGCTCTTGCTGGATGGTGACATTGCCTGGCACTTGTATGATGTAAATATTACTTGCCACCTATCAGTCTAAGCCCGATTAACATTCAGGTCTCACTGCATATGGACAATGGCTATTTCTTTATCTGAGGCGTCATTAAAGTTGCTGAACATGGCACAATCAGCACAGAGCATTTCCACTTCTGATTTTATAATGAGGGAAGCTCATTGATGAAGCAGCTGAAGTTAGTTTGGTCTAGGATACTACTGTGAGGGGTTCCTGTTTTAAATTTTATTTGGTTTATTTATTGTCACATGTATCCTGTTACAAAATACAGCAAAAAGTGTTTTGTTTAGTGTTGCCACTCTCCAGCGCCATCTTAAAACATAGAAAAATAAAGCATAGACTTGAGATGATTGACCTATAACAACTACAACCAAGTTTTTTGCGCTAGATATGACTCCAACCTGATTCCCATTGACATCAGCTTTGTTCAGACTCCTCGGGCCATAATCAGTTAAATATTGCATTGATATTAAAGGCAATCATACTCTCACATCACTTCTGGAGTTCATTACTTCTGTCTACATTTGGATCATGTCTGTATTAGTCAGGAGCCGAGTGACCCTTCAAGAACCAAACTGAGCATCAATGAGTAGGTTATTCCTGAGCAAGCACTATATGACAGCACTGCCAACAACGCCTCCATCACTTTGCTGATGATTAAGAGTTGATTGATTAGATGGTCACTGTAGGATTGGATTGTCCTGCTTTTTGTTGGTAGGACATACCTGGGCATTTTCCATATTGTCAGGTAGATCTAATGTTGTAGCTGTACTGGAACAGCTTTGCTAGCTACATCACGTGTCCTAGAGTACAAGTCTTCAGTACTAATGCTGAAACATCATGGGAATCCATAGCATTTGCAGTATCTAATGTCTTCAGCTGTTTTTTGACTTCAGATGGAGTGAATTGAATCAGCTGAAGACTACCATCTATGATCTGGGGAACTCAGGGGGAGGCAGCCATGATGGATTATCCGCTTCACACTTCTGGCTGAACATGGATACAAATGCTTCAGCCTTGGCCTTTGAATTGATGTGCTGAGTTTCCCCATCATTGAGGATCCTGTTAGTTCAATTATCCTCCACCATTAAGAATTGGATATGTACTACAGAGCTTAGATCTGATCTGATGGCAACAGAATCACCAAATCCTGCTTATTGTGCGCTGCTTCTGCTGTTTGGTTTCCAAGTATTTCTATGGTGTAGCTTCATCAGGTTGAAAAGTAAAAGTTCAGCCCAAGTTACTCCAACCATTCCTCATAGTACAAACCTTCAACTCTAGGGATTAGCTTTGTGGTCACTCATACCCTGTGGCAACATACGTCAATATATGGAAGTAAGTATATTTTAAAATGAGTGCCGTGCTGAAAAATCACTTGCACACTGATTTGCTAACTAAATCAGCATACCCTCACCAATTTCATTTTTCTCATAAAAATATTAAATTATTGGACATCAGTTGAGTAATTTGAATTAAAAGTGGACAATGCTAAAGGGGAAGTTGGCTCAGGTGCTCTTGTGATTTACAAAACAAGGAATTTCTGCAAAATAAGACATGCAGCATCTTGCAAACCTTCTTTTTGAGTAAATGAGAAAGAGGAAGGCATCAAACACACATTGTAAACAAACAATTATATAGTAAATTGACCAAATACATAAACTTCATTTTATTCATGAAAAGCAGTTCTATAATATTAATATTTATTGCTTAATTACTTGAAATTTCTCAGGTCCTCCCTTGATGCTAGACATTCAATTATACTTAATTAAATGGTCTTAGTTCATTACTTTTACAATTGAATAAAGTAAAGCTGCTCATTTGTGTCTCAGAATGTGATATTGAGATCCATGTTATTAAACATACCATAGCTGTGAAGTACAAACCTGACCTAAAAGAGAAATACAAGTGAATATTTCAAATTATACATCAAACTGTTGTTATCTACCTTTTCCGTCTACAAAACTTAGTAAATGAACTGCAACAGCATCTGGCAATACAACAGAACCCCAAGTGTCCATATTCTTAACTGCCTACACTGATAGGCAAGTGGTAATTTTCAGCAGCATTTCTTCCATTTATTCCATTGGCAACAATTAGTGCTGTCGGATCAGTTGCCTTGCAGCTAACTTACCCATCTGCTCTGACAGTGTAAAGAGAGTCAGCCAAAGGCACTCCAGATGTCAACCATAGCCATCTTCCAGTTGTTGAACATAATTAACTGCCAATGGTGCGTCCTCATGTCCACAAATAATAATTGCAGCTTATGTAGCACGAATCTTGGCTTGAAGATTGGTTCATAATCTGCCTATTTACAGGCAATCTATCTGCATTACTGCATATAAAGAAACAGAGTTTGCACTGATTTTGAAGTCTCTCTCTCTCTCAGCTGAAAAGCACTGCAGAGTTGAGTGAGCTCAAATCACCTTTCAATTCCCAACTCAAGTGATTGGCGCCATGAGCATTTCTGGGGCTAACTTTGCACCTGGAACTGCAGACAGGTGTGTGGAATATCAGCAGAACAAGTAAATCAGGTGATTTTGCCAGCAGAACTGAAAGGCAGAGTCTGTGGAAAGCAACAGATTGTTCAAAGTTCAGAACAGCAATTGGCATTGTTGTTTTGATTCCTGGGAAAGCGGGAGAAAAACAAGTCTTCTCTATCATGCAGAATGATTGCTTTTACACTAGCAACATTTTTACCTGGTCATTTGGCATTTCTATCACACAAAGCAATTTTTTGATGTTAGTACAAAGGATTTCAGGGAATTTAAAAATGTTGGTGAAATGAACTCTTAACAAACATTGTTTAGATGTCAGAATGCATATTTCATTATTGCCACTTTACTACATGGCTTCAGCCATAGTTCAGTAGTAGCACTGACTCCCAATCAGCAGGAATGGGTTCAATGCCCACCTGAGAGATGCGAGAGCAAGCCCTCAGTTAAAGTTAAGTCTGCGTATGAGAATCACTTCTTTAAGTAAAACAACTTTAAGTGAATCATGGGTTTTGATAGGAATAAGTTCTCAAGCTGGTGTTGGGCTCCTTCAAACATTCTGTTTCTGCAGAAACAAATGCACAAGCTGAAATTCATATGCAATGCTTGGAAAAAGCTTGAAAATAAAATAATTATAATATAAATAAATAACCTTCATTGAACTTACTAAATATCTCAGAACTGAAACGCTGCTACACATGGGCAGGTGCTGGTCAGAATATGTTAGATGAGTTGCTTAGAGGTTCTTTCATTCTTTCCACCACCTTGATTTAGCCTCTCAATGTCCCAATGTCCCAAAGTGTCTGTGTTCTGCACTCAAATGAATCAACAACCAAATTTTGGTTGGTGAAGATGTTTGATTTCCTCGTGGATGTTTTAAGGACACAACAAAAGAATTTCCATGGAGGTGGCTTTGAGTGATTTAGAGGCTGGATCCTGGACATGTTAGCATGAGGGAAGACCCTACTGTTAGATCATCTTTGCCACTGGATGTGATGGACTTTTTGAAGACACTACTATGAGGTGCCTGCACAGTGTCATGACCATAGTCTCAGGTTTGAGATCTTGTTCCTCTCCTGTGAGGCTTAATGACTTTAGGTGGAGGATTCCTATTTTGAATTAAGTTCAAGGTGGCACAAAATAACCCGATCAGTTTGACCTTCCTTTTCAGCTCACCGACTCTGTAGCCATATTGAATCTTCGCTAGAAAATTCCTCTCTGAGGAATGCAAGCAATTCCCACACACCAGCCTCAACCACTTCATAAACTTGCCTCTGAAAGATGATTATTTCATGCTGAACCTCAGAGTCTGTACTGCAAGACTCTCCTTGGCCACTGATCCAATCAAACCACAATTTCAGACACACATTGCTCAGACACAATAATGTGACTCCATCTAATGAATCAACAGTACTGCTAAGCCCCTGTATGCTGAAGCCATATCAAAATTCCCTGACTGATGGCGTATTCCCACCATCTGCTGCCATGATGAGTTGACAGAAGGTATGAGAAAGCTCATAGACCTTGAATGCTGCTATTCCTCCCTGATTCATGGAATGGAGGCGCGAAGCCATATTAAGTGGCAGGCAAAGCATCTTTGCATATCAGACAATTCATCAAGGCTGACAGAAAAACGTGGGCAATTATTCAAGGGATGCAATACCTTGAAAGTGAGATTTTCTCTGGTGCAATATGCCCTCCAGGAAGGTACAGATAGAACCACTCTTGTAGGAGTGTTCCTATCATACAGGCTTTCTTATTTGAATTCCAAATGACATACAGATTCTCCTTGGGATAAGCCCTCTTAAACTGATAAACCACAAAGTGCTTAAACTTAAAAGCTCCTGCAGTGTTTTCACCAAGTGGAACAGTCAAGCTATCTTTGGTAGTTTTAAATTATAGTGCTGTCATTTCCTATTTCAAAATTGTTATGAAGATGTTTCATTATTAATTCAGTTTTGAGGACTCATGTTAGAAGAGTTGCGGACTGTAGTTGGTTAGGAGTGAAGAAATACCTGGGCTAGTTTCTTTTTTAAAAAAAGTCACTCAAATGACATTCGGACACTTATAATACACTCTTGGGGGTCAAATGGACTTCTTTACTGGAAATCACATTTCTGGATTTATGGCTTTGAAAATTGTTTGAAGTTCAGTTGGGATACATCCTGTGAAGAGAGAGAAGCTACCCAACTCTGTTTCACAGAAAACCCTTTTGGATGAACCAGTGAGAGATCTGAAAAACTGATACAGCTTGCAAAGTCTCTGAGTTCTCAACATTCCTGGATAAACCACATCTGCAAATGTCCCAGTGACAATTGCCTGTGTTTCATGGAACCAACCTGTGTGTGCCAAGATGCTGAGTGAAATACATCTTAAACAATTCATACTTTTTTCTTTTTTCCTTCAAGAGCTAACAATTATGGATCAAAAATGTTCATTCTTTGAAACTAATTTCTGAATTTTTTAAAAATGCTTTTCTTTTAATGAGGTGTGTGTGTGGGTTACAGGAAGGGTAAATATTTATCCTTTTGTATCTCAAACTGTTAATCAGTTTTACATCTTTAAGTCCTGTTTTTCACAATAAATCAATAATTTTGCTGCTTAATAAATACACTTGTTGATGTATCTTTATATTTATTACATTTAGAATAAAATCTGTATAAAAATGGCCTTGTCCTTAACTGGGTAAAGCATTTAAGTTTATGTCTGTGTTTTGGTGTTGTGGGCCGAGAGAGGGAGAAACAGTGCACTTCTCCAACCTTGTTTGACACAACATGCATATTCTCAATGGAAACCGTTTCCAAAAAAAGTCCCATATCATCAATGCTAACAACTTGCTTTGGTGGGTAGCTACCTTCTTCAATGATTTTCTTCAAGTGGGCAGGGAATTTATCAATTGCCCCTTTATCAGCTCCAGTTGCTGCACTGGACATTTTAACGTTTTGGAGATAGAAATGCTTCCTGAAATTCTCAAATCATCCACAACTAGCATTGAAACTTTTTGACTGGGAACTCTCGGTCTGCTCATTCAGCACATCTTCATTCTGGCTTTTAATTTTTCTTGGATGACCATCAAACTAAGAAGAACCTGGCACTGGTTCAGGTCTTCAATCCAGATTGCCAGAATCTTTTCCATGTTTTCCATATCTTGCTTCTAGTCCCAAACACCCTGCCAGCACTTAAAATGTGACACTTGTTTCATTTTATCAGCATTGCCATGGATTGTTCTCACTGTTGTAGGGGGAAACCCAAGCAGTCTGGCAATATCAACTTTCATTTTCCAGCCTCAACAAATTTTAAACTTCCAATTTTGCTGTTAAGTGGATAGTTTTTTTTTGCTTTCTTTGTAGTATTTGGTTCATTACCATTTGCTGGGTGTTTCTTGCTCATGTTTACAGCACTAAATCATAAGTCCGAAATAAAAAACTCTGGTCTCTTCTGCCTCACCTGCCGCAAGTGGTACTCTTATTGTTTTTAAAATAACCTTTATGCGTCACCGGCTCAAGACTGAACAGGGGAGTCAGCTTTCTCAAGTGTACACCCTGTATTTTTCACTCAACAAGCACAAAAATGAGGAAAACAATTTACTGCACCAGCAAATGCACTTTTCACAAAGACTTCAATTGCTCTGTGCCTCATTGAAAGCAGGCATTCCTGAAAATCAGCTTGTCAAGAAATGGGCGGTTTTCATAGAAATGTGCAGTCCTGGCTGCAATTTCTTGGTTGAAAAAAAATCCTCTTGACTTGGATATTTTTTGTCCAGAATTCTGACTTCTCTTTTTAAAGAAATCTCTCAAACATAAGCACCTTTCCTCACAATGATGCTCGTCAGGACACAGTACCAAATGTCAGATGAATATTAACTAAGTTAATATGTAATGTGTGCATTGACAACAGCAACACACAGTATCATGTGATGCAGTCGTTGAGGACGCTGACAAGTGATGAGTACAATGATGCATGTACATGCATTAAGCACAGCGACGACATCCAACATATGCCCAATGACACAAACTGAAGTTATGGCACAATTCAGCTCGGACTCTATAGGGCCATTTGCTCACCATGCAAGCTTGATGCAAAAGCAAGGTACTGATTTTGCAAAACTCAAAACAGTGTCCAACTTTAAATGTGATTCCATGGTTGCTAAATAATCATGACTGTGCTAAGGATTACACTAAGAACCAACTTAACATTATTGCTCTGGCTTGTAGTATATCTTATGACATTACTTATTCCTCCCACTTTGGGTATAGCCTTAATAAAAACCGAAAGAACTGCAGATGCTGTGAATCAGGAACAAAAATAAAGTTGCTGTAAAAGCTCAGCAGGTCTGGCAGCATCTGTGAACGAAAAAATGTTTCGGGTCCGGTGACCCTTCCTCACAATTAGTTCTGAGGAAGGGTCACCGGACCCTAAACGTTAACTCTGATTTTTCCATCACAGATGCTGCCAGACCTGCTGAGCTTTTACAGCAACTTTGTTTTTGTTGTTGTTGTTGGGTATAGCCTTCTCCAAATCAAAATCACATTGCGCAGTTGATTTTCAGATCAAGATGTTAAGCTGCACAATGTGTTCACACATCAGAGAGATGTAGCCTCCCCTGTTACCCATAATACACCTCATTCTGTACCTCCTCATTGCAATAGCAGCCACATAAATTCACAAGTGATGTCCCGTGCTTTGAAAACAAAGGTTGTGTCCAGATATAGAGCTTTTTCTTAACTCAATACAAGTTTTCCCTGGTGCTTTCCTCATAGCAACACCTTGACTAACTCATAGACAAATTGCAGGTTTGAATTTAAACTCAAGTTTCATAGTTAAACTTAAAACTGAAAGAACTGCAGATGTAAATCAGAAATAAAACAGAAATTGCTAGAAAAGCTCAGCAGGTCTGGCAGCATCTGGGGAGAGAAATCAGAGTCAATATTTCAGGTCCAGTGACTCTTCCTAATTCGGAGGCAATTTCTACTTTTGTTTTAGATAGTTAACTGTTTGCTGGTATATTTGCCATGGCTGCGTCTCCACCAAACTGCACCCTCTTCTCTCGTGGCATGAACTGTTGTTCCCTTTGAGATTTGATGTTATGACTCTGTCCTGAGGAGTGCAAGATAAAAAGCCTCAACAGAATGTCTTTTTTCTCAGTATTATTTGTGTTGTGCGCTAACAGGCGACTATGAGTAACCTGACGAAGATAGTCTGGTTTCCAACAGAAATAGGGAATGAATTTGAAATCTAAGTACTGGAGTAAAATAAGTGAATCCTCAACATTTCTTTTAATCACCCAATGCAACAGATCCTTTTCAGCAATGTTTATACCATTTACGAAAGGAATTATGCAACAATCTTCCTGATTAAGTGCAACAAGAAACAAACTTACAACCACAGGTCGCAACATGGAAACAAAAGCACAAAAGCGACTGCGTTCTTCAATGAGGGCTCTACGAACAGCTTGTTTTTCTGTCTCTTCAAGCAGAAGGTATTTATCATTTACATCTTGTAAAGCACTGTCCAACTGGGGTTGAATGTCTCCTTTTCCTGAAAAGACACAGAAATAATGATCAATTTGAGACTAGTATATTAATGGTTTTCACTTTCCTCTTTGTGTACTCATGACATGTTAACAAAACCAACAAACGTGTTTTAACCTCATCTATATGTGAAACATTATCTGATCTGTTCTTTCACTGCAGATGTTGACCAACCTGCTGAGGATTTCTAGCATTCACTGGTTTTGTTTTAAGACTTTGTGATATTAAAATAAAAACGCAATAGAGATTTTAGGAATGAAATCCAAACCCTTCAGGATCAATAACTTCTGACTGTGAACACTGATCTCCTTTTGTTTCAAATTGTTTTTTTTTCATTTCCCTCTCATTTCCGCTTACACTCAGCAACACATCTGCTCTGAGCACATCATTTATTTCTTGCCCTTCATTCTCTTTGGCTTTGTAAGATAATTCTGTCTTCCAATCTCACTTGTCTTCTTTCTTATCACACACCTTCTTTTCCTCCTCAAAAACCAATTATCCCTCTAACCTTTCCCAGTTCTGACGAAAGGTCATTGACCTGAAACATTAACTGTTTCATTCTCCACAGATGCTACCTGGTCTTGCGGAGAATTCTGGTGTTTTCGGTTTTAATTCCTTCCTGATCTGTATGGCTTAATTAATTATTTGCATAAATAGCCAATTTAGATTGCCTAAAAGGACAAGTCTTCTTCAAATTCAGACACTCAACTGTGAAAATGGCTTGCAATTTGATATACACTGTTATGGATGTGCAGGCAATGTAATTTTTAATTTTCTGTTCTCTTAAAGTTGTGATTATTGTTGGTTCTGCTGAGTGTTTAGACTTGGGTACTAAGATTTAGATATAAACTAGCTTATCAGACACTCAGTCCTTTGCATTTTTGCTTTGAATTTGCAGCTGGTGAAAAGCTTTTTGATATGTAGATTACAAACAAAATTTGAAGTTAATACTACAGATCAACTAATCATACAATGGTCTCCAAAAAGCTGAGTTAATTGGTGACATCTGCCCTTGATTTAAAAAAGCCAAATAACTATGGATGCTGGAAAGCTGAAACAAAAACAGAAATTGCTGGAAAAACTCAGCAACTCTGGCAACATCTGTGGAGAGAAAGCAGAGTTTATGTTTTGGATCCAGAGATTGTACTGAATATAGCTACAAAAAGGATGGCATATACGCTGAAGATGGGATTGGGAGAGTAGGGAGGAGTAAACGATAGATGAAGATGAAGCCCAGAGAAAGGGAAGTGAAGGAGTAGAGAAATACACTGAAAAAACAAGCACTGGAGATCACAGCAGGGTCAGGCAGCATCCATGGAAACACAGCAAGTTAACATTTTGAGTCTAGATGACTCTTCATCAGCTCTGATATAAACGGGCAGGTGTTGTGCCCGCTTTGATTTCATGGGAAGATGAGAGGGTGTGGGGAGGCGTTGAGTGTGGAGGAGGAATGGACCAAGGTGTCCAGAAGGGAACAGTTCCTGTGGAAGGGAACAATGTGTATAATTACCCATTCCTTTGTCTGCCTGTTCTTCTCTCTCTCTGGGCTCCATCTCTACCTATCGTTCACTCCTCCCCGCCCTCCACCAATGCCCATCTTCCACATATATACCAACCTTTGTCTAGCTACGATCAGTTCTGAAGAAGGGTCACTGGACCCGAAACATAAACTCTGTTTTCTCTCCAAAGACGCTGCCAGACCTGCTCACCTTTTCAGATTCTGTTTCTGGTTTCCAGTATCGGTAGTTCTTTGTGTTTTTTAATTTAGTATTTAACTCACTGCCACATCTCTTCCAGGTATGTCACCTTGAAGAAGTTCTGCTCCGCCTCTGACAGGATTTCATTTCTAATCTATTGTTATTGTTCACCATCATTACTTTGTTGTTGCTTCTGGTGTTTGACAAGGTATATTTGCCAAAACTCGCTCCCACAGCTATTTCATATTCCTCAGTGACTGCCTGCAGCTCAGACTCACCCCAAAGTGGATCCTGATTGAAGTCTCATCTTTCAAGTTTGAATCCACCCAGGATCACAGGTATCTCTGTGACCATCTTGAAGCGGGATACACATCGTTCCTCAAATAATTGTTCTCACCACATTCGGAGATCCTCACTCAGTGCCATGTATCGCCCTAAGCGCACTGTTGAGCTCTCTTGCCATCAGCACCGCCTCAAACTGGCTGAGAGTTGCCCTGCCACCCAGTTGCACTTCATCCTCAAGCTCATTTAACATTCTAACAAGAAACATTTTCTTTTCCTTTCAGGCATTAACATATGTAAGATGCAACAACTCAGAGATATCCACGTCCCTTTGGAATCTTCATCCAATCATCTAACCCTACCTCTTGTCATGTATTTACAATTGTTTCTGACCTTCCACCCTCTGATGCTAAACGTTCTGTACTCAGCAAAGATCTGAGTTTTATCCCCCTGCACCCCCACCTCAAGGAATTTCAGGCACGATATAATGCTGAACTCTTCTTCTGTCACCTCTACCTCCTCTGGACAAGACTCTTCTCTCTGTCCCACAGACACCTTCACCTGCCTTCAACACTCTTCCTTCACCTGGACCCCTCCTTCTAGCCTTTTTACCTGCACTTGACCTGTTCGTGGAGAACTGTCGATCTCAATTTCTTACACACCACCCGCCCCTTCCCCATTCAAACCTATCTCCATCTGAACTGACTGTACTCCATGCATTCAGATCCAACCCTGACTTTGTAATCAAGTCTGCTGACAAGGGTGGTGCTGCTGTTGTCTGGCATAGTCATCTCTACACTGTGCTTAGATACTTCCTCCTGTCTCCCCCAGATCATGACCCCATCATTGATCACCAGGATATTGTGTCCTCAACAGACATTAATCTGATTTCATATGGTGAACTCTTACTGCCACAAGCTCACACTTCCCCAATCCCAGACAGCCTGCTTCCATTTCCTTCCCAAAATCCATAAACAGGTCTGCCCAGGCAGACCCATTGTTTCTGCTTGCTACTGGCCTATGGAACTCATTTCTTCCTACTGGGACACGATTCTTTTCTCCCCTTGTACAATCTCGATTTCTCTGACACTTTGTCAGTTTCTGAATTTTCCAGTTTACGGGCTCCAGCTGCCTCCTCTTCAGCCATGAATGTTTAATTACTTTACAGTCCATCTCATTTCAGGATGGTCTCACAGCTCTCTGTTTCTTCCTGGAAAAAAAAATGCCTGAACTGTCCCCATCCTCCATCACCCTCCTGTACCTGACCAAGCTCATCCTCACTTTGAACAGTTCACTTTTAACTCCTCTCACTTTCTTCAGGTCAAATGTGTGGCCATCCTGAAGCCTGCCACCTGCACTCCCACCCCATCTTCAGGCGTGAGGCCCAGCTATGCCTGTCTCTTTGTGGGATACCACCCACAATTTTTTCTCCAGGATATCAATGACATCCTTGGTGTTCCTTACCTCTCTCATTCAGAATTGGAAAAGCTTATTAATTTCAATTCCAATTTCCATCTTGCTCTCACCTCACCTGGTCCATCTCTGACACCTCCCTTCGCTTCCTCGACATCTCTATTTCCAATTTGAGGTACAGGCTGACCACCAATATCCACTACATACCCACCAACACTAACAGTTTCTTGACTACACATCCTCACACCCTGCTTCTTGTAAAGACTCTATTCCATTCTCCCAGTTTCTCCATCTCAGTTCCATCTGTTCCAATGACGCCAGTTTCTAAAAGAGAACCTTCAAAATGACCACCTTCTTCGGAGGATTCCCCACCACTGCGGTTGACAGGCCCCTCACCCCTTCTCCTTCCTCCCACGATAGTGACAGGGTCCCCCTGGTCCTGCCTTACCACTCCACCAGCATCCACATCCAAAGGATCATTAGCTGATATTTCCGCCACCTGCAGCTGGATGTCACCACCAGACACATATTCCCTTCCCCTCCCTTGTTAGCTTTCTGCAGGGACCATTCCCTCTGGGACAACTTGGTCCGATGCTCCTCCACTCACAACACCTCCCCACACCCCCAAGGCACCTCTCCATGCAACCACAGAGGGTGCAACACTGCCCTTTTACTTCCTCCCTCCTCACTATCCAAGGCCCCAGCCGCACCTTCCAGGTAAAGCAGTGATTCACTCAATCTAGTCTACTGTATTTGTTGCTCACAGTGTAGTCTATTCTACAATGGGGTGACAAAATGCAGGCTAGGCAAATGCTTTGCAGAATACCTATGTCTATCCACAAATATGACCCCAAGCTCCTTGCAGCCTGCCATTTCAACATACTGTGTCCCCTGGTCAACATCTCCGTCTTGGGCTTGCTGCAGTGCTCCAGGGAAGCTCAGCACCAGCTGGAAGAACAGTATCTCATTTTCCGCTTGGGAACTCCGCAGCTTTCTGGACTCAATATCTAGTTTAACCCAAACCCAACACACCAGACCGTGTCATCACGTGGGCTGCTGCCACAAAAAAAAAACCATTGTCAGCCACTAATGGCCCCCATTAGAAGATATTGATTCTTCCAGGTTGGCCTTTACCCATTCCATTGTCTGGCAAACTGTTTTTCATTTCTCTGGACTCAATCGGCAACTATTATTTACTCCTGTCACCAGCAACCCCCACCCCATCTTCAGCATATATAATTAACTTTGCCTAGTTAAAATCAGTTCTAGAAGAAGGGTCGTTGGGCCCGAAATGTTAACTCTGCTCTCTCTTACCACAGATACTGCCAGACCTGTTGAGCTTTTCCAGCAATTTCTGTTTTTGTTTCTGCCCTTAATTAGGTTTTTCAGCTTATCTTTTCTTCCAACAAATTGAAATACAAATATTCTTTACTTGAAGCTATTCTATTTCCAAAAGATTGCAATAAAGTGAACACTGGCATTTCATACAACAGCAAGGATTTACCACCCAAGCAGATGAAAATTTATGACTGAATCACTTACAAAGATTTGATTCTCAAATCTTGTACATTGTAAATGTTCTGTCAGATTTTCCAGTATTATAAAGACAAATATA